AAGCAATAATGAACTTTTATTTGGATCGAGTTAAAGAGGAGGTGAGGGAAGAAATAACAATGGATCTGTTTACTTTGACTCAATCTTCATCAGAAACTAGCAAGAGAATGTGGTAAACATCCATCAAGCAACTTAAGCGGATCATGTGAATGAAACGGTTATCTACGAATGTAATCAGAGATTATGGCTTCAGGATAGGAGTGGATGGCTGTGATACCTGGCCATTGAGAGTGGAAGATATGAAAAGACTAGCTGTCTTTGATCACAGGTGCCTGCGTTCTATCTCCCGTGTGAAGTGGTATAATAGGGTGAGCAATATTGAGGTGAGGCATCGGTAGAATGCTAGGTAAGGAGGAGAAATCAATCGACGAGGCTGTGAAGCTTTATCGACTGAGATGGTTAGGACATGTATTACGTATGCCTTGTCATCGCCTTCCTCGACCGACGGGCAATGCTAGCTGACATAGGGTCAGGCTGGAAAGTGCTGGAGGCAGTCATACCAAAACATGGCACCAGTCAATGAAATCTACAACAGTTAGTCTCAGCCACGTAGGAAGGTGTAGACTTCCTGACTGGTTGGGGTCCTAGGGACGGTAAAAACCAATGGCTAGAGACAATCGGTGATATGGTTCAAAACCGTTCTCAATGGCTGGCGCAGATGCATCCACTCCTTGTAGCTTATAATTATATTGTTCTTCGTTATTACTATTCCTTTTGTATCCTATCCCTGTCTAATGTCTCTGTTTTGCATTTTTTTTTATACTTTCTTTTCTTGTTTTTTTGCTACATGGAGTGTGGCGACTTGAACTGCTGCACATCGATGCCAATTCCTACGTTGAAAACAGACAGACAGATAGAAGTGGATGAAGTGTTTCAGTCTAACAATGACTTTGAAGTGTCACGCTGATCCGAGGCTTAGCGCTTATTCGCATCGATTAGGAAGATACACCTCTAGCCCTAATGGCAGATTTCTCCCCTCAAAGATTCGGACAGGCCTCGCAAACTATAAATATTATAACTGAGTCACTCTAGGAGCAAATCGTTCTGTCAAATCATGCGATAAAAGAGGTTGATAACAGCTGAAGAGAAAACCAGTAAAAAAAACCATATCTGATATCTACTTGAATATATAAGCGCATAGAGCTCTTGTTTTAAGTCAAGTTCCGTTTTTAGTTCATTCGATTATGATAAATTTCTCAACTAGTTATCAGATATTAGTAGAGAGAAAAAAACAACGAAAAACAAGCAAGCAACTAAACGAAATCATAAAGTCAACTAACACATTTAGAAACAGGGTGTCCTAAAAATGAAACAAAGAAATATTATTTACATAATACTTAAGAGTCACTTCTGTTTATCATCCGTCTGTTTGTTTTGCTATATCACTAGTATTAATAATAATAATATTAGTAGCAGTATTAGCATCAGTAATAGTAGTAGTAGTAGTAGTAGTAATAGTGGCAGTAGTTAGTTTAGAAAACTTATTTATGCTAATCTCACAGAAACTTTGTTGAGTACAACATTGAACAGAAGAAAACCAACAAACGAACCAACCAAACAAACAAACCCTGTGAACACAAACAAAAAAAACACTGGTGACATTTGATAAAAACAAAAATTACTTCAGTTTGTTTACTTTTTCAAGCTAATTCTTATCGCAAGTATTTTATGCATGAGAGTGTGTAAATATTAATAATAATAATAATAATAATAATAACAATAATAATCGTGGCACTGAATAGCCAGAATGTCAACAAATGAGGATACTATAAAGTAACTAAGTAAGTAGGTGTGTAAGTGTGCGTGTTAATTTTTTATCTACAGAGTTATTTGATTAACAGAAAGAAAAAATATTGTTAATAATGACTGATATTTAGTAGAAGTTAAGGATTCATGGATCATTCGATAGGGTCCCAGTGACTGAATGGTATACGAGCTCGCTGGCCTTGTAACCGGGATGTTCTGGGTTTGAACCCTGACGGTGGGTGCGTACTAGTGGGATGAAATAGCTGTCCAGTACTCCTTGCTAGTTTTCAATGATTCTCTGACCGATATCAAACCGTGGTCTAACTCGTGAAAACAAATCAACTCTTGAAAAACTTATATAATAAGTGTCTACTCAGCTGGTTGAGATCTTCAAGCTGTCGAGAATTACCTTGAATCATTGCCTTAATGGGTAGTGGAGAAGAGTAATAACTGACTACTTAACCTGTTGGTCACTTAGTAATTACTGATACTTTTATCTGAAGAGAGACGTCTATCGTGAACTGTATATTGGTTAGAATAGAGTGAACGCTTTATGAACATAACATCTAAACAATACTCAGTAACCATGTACCGGAAACATTCTTCTGTGTTTCTTATCTTGGCATTAGTTTCTCTTCAAACCTTTGCTGGTCGTCTCATATTCTTATAGTTTCTAAGAAAGTTTTCCGTCTGACTTATTACATAAAGAAGTTGAAGCACTCAGGTATAACCCAATCTCTTCTCATACAATTTATTAATTCATGTGTTTTGCCCATCATTCTTTATTGTTCTCCATTATTCTTCCCTGGGCTCCTTAAGAAAGACTACATAATACTACGAAGAACATTGAAGGCTGTAAGTAGAGTCAGTGCTATCCCTTTGACTCAACTAACCGACACTGTTGTCAATAGGCATTTGAATTCTTGTAAACACTTAGCTGAAGTTATCTTGTCTGATAGTGAACATCCTCTTTATTCACAATTGTTTCCTTGCATCTCTTCGGGTAAGACCAGAAGAAATTTCATAAACATTTATGCTCAAACTGCAAAATATAAAAATTCGACCGTACCATTTTTGGCACGAGTATTGTGTGAAGAGACAAATATCAGAAAAGAACTTTTACAACTTTTAAATCATTAACTAAACTATAAAATGTAATGATGCACATTAATGCATGTGTTATTTGTTATATTATTTATTTATTAATCACTATGACCTAGCAATGGTGTGATTTTGTTGGGGTTTTTATTTTTTCCTATTAACTATCAATATTTTAACATTTTATACATTTATATAATTATAAACAGAGCTAAACCACTACAATATGTAAAAGGAACGCTGAAAATTCCATACTTTAAATTGTTATTGTTGTGGAATAAAGTGATTATTATTATTATTCTTTCATTTCTTTGCGTTTCAAGTGGAATTTAGAGCTTTAAGCTTCAGCTTTGAAGTTTCTGTAGTTGTGGTGTTTTTTTCCCTATGAGTTTCTAGCCCCATTCCTAACCTCTCCTCTTTTTCGGGCTGAATACACATAAGGCGAGATCTGAGAATTGAACCCAGGCCACATGGTTGATTCGTGAGCATTCTACTACAGATCTGCTGATCCATCGCTAACATAAATGAGTTTAATATTCATCAGAGGTGGCTATAGACTTCTTAAAAGCTGGGAATATATTTTTTTTGGCGAATAAACTAATTTGTGCATCGTCAGAAATGTCGATATATGGATGACACATTTGTGGTTATGAGAGACGAGAATGATGCAGTGAATATCCTTGACAAGTTTAATGATGCACATTCAGCAATAAACTTTACCATAGAGAAAGAAAGTAATGGCAGTATCTCATTCCTAGACGTCTTCATGGCAAGGAAAGATGATGGCACACTAAGAAGGAGTGTGTATAGGAAACCTACAGCAACAGGTCAGTACACTCATTATTTGAGTTCTGTACCTTTGAAATATAAACGTAACCTGGTAAAGTGTCTGGTTCATAGAGCTAACTTAATCTTTTCAGACGACTGCCTCAATGAGGAGCTTAAGATTATTAAAGAATTACTTAGAAAAAATGGTTATCCAGATAAATTTATTGAGACGAATATGAATTCAGCACCAAAGAGAGTCAGTATTGCTACAGTTTCGAAAAAGGCAATGTTCATAAAATTGCAGTTCCTCGGTGACAACATCAGTGAAATCATAACACAGCGCTTGAAGAATGCAGTTAAAAGAGCTTATTATGCGGCAGAAGTACGTTGTCTCTTCAAAACCACCCCTATTCTGTGTTCGAGAAATAAGGATAAACTACCTAATTTTGCCTCTTCTATGTGTGTCTACCAGTTTGACTGCAGCTGCGGAGCCAGCTACATTGGGCGTACAATTAGGCAGGTTCATCGTCGTATTTCCGAACATCCTCCAGCATGGTTAAGCAAGGGACAAACAAAATCTATTCGTAGTTCTATTTTAGCACACCTTGTTGATACTGAGCACAAGGTTGATGTGAATACTGCATTTAAAGTTATTTATCGCATTCCGACTAATCTTAACTTTGCTCTACGAGTTCGTCTTCTACAGCCAGCTGAAGCAATCGGAATCCACCAGAAGAAACTAAGCCTATGTGTACAGAAGAAATTTGTACAGCCACTTTGCTTACCGTGGCCATCGTTACAAGACAGGACTACGTCGCCTCCCTCCCCCTATCAAATTATAATTGTCCAAATTATTTTATTTTTATTTTGACCACTTCATCTTTAATTACGTGTTATTCTTGTAAAATTAATTTATTCTATCCATTTCAACCTTTTAAATGTGTATTGATTTTCTGCGTTAATTATCTACCCATTGACATTTTGACACTGTTTAATTATTGTTAACAAACATATCACCACTTGTTTGGTAAATTGTTGTGTGTTGTAAAAAATGCTATATATATTAGAGTAGAGCCAGAGAAGAGGATCTAATTGAAAAGTAAATATTTCTTCGCTCAATCTTTCTGTTTTAGAAATGTCAAAATCACAGTTTCACCAAACCCGTAACACTGTTCTGTCCGAGTAATAGGTAGAGTTTGTTTTAAAAACTAATTTACCCCCACAACACATATCTCATCTACTTGTTTTTACAAGTGATAAGTGATATCAACAAAGGGTTTTATTTAGAGTCGTAGTGTTGGAATATATATATATATGTTTAATTTACAAAATAAAACACATGAGATGTGGTCAACAGTACTGTTATTTCAATAGTTTGTAGAGCTTACCTCAAGAGGAAATGTGATGGCAGGAGATATCCGACTCCCAGTTGGAAAACTTTCATTATTATCTAAAGAAACCAGAAGCAATATATTCAAAATTATAAACCTAAGGCAGAACAATTTATAGGAAGAAATCAAAAGATGAAGTTGTATTCTACAATAATGACGTAAAAGCAGCAGTAACTTGTTGACAATACTTATATTCAATGTGCCATCTTTAGATTCTTGTGATAGAGAATGTTTCCCGATTCCCATTTACGGATTTAGAAAAAAACAGCAGATTGAAAGAAGAAATATGCATTCCTTTTCAATTAGTTCCTCATCTTCAGCTGGCTCTACGCTAATATATAGTTTTTTATACCAAAATTTCTTTGCAGCTAAGCTATGCTGTGTATTCACTAGGCGACCAATACTTAGTTCAAGAAATCAAGACAGACTGTCCTGTTTCGCCTCTTCCATGTGCATTTACCAGTTTAACTGTCCATGCGGAGCTAGTTACATAGAGCGTACGATCAGGCAAGTTCATCGTAGAATTTATGAACACCCCCCATATTGGTTTGGCAAAGGTTCGAATAAAGCTATATCCAACTCAATACTAGCTCATTTCGTCGATACTGGACATCAAGTTGACTCTAACAAAGCGTTTGAAGTTATTTACCGTACATCACCCAATCTCTCGCATGGTCTACGACCAAGAGGCAATCGGAATCCATCTGAACAAGCCAAATCTATGTGTTCAGAAGAAATTTGTACAGCACCTTTCTCTACCAACTACCTAGTGTGTATTAAGTTTTTAAAGACGATTTTCCCCCTCCCCTTGTAACTGTCTTTTGACTTTGTTAATTTTTACAATTTTTACAATTCTGGTTAATTCTATTAACTCTTGTGAGTTATCCTTTTCTTCTTAGTCATCATTACTATTTTACAAATTTCTTGATTATGTAATAACTTGTTGCTCACTGCTAATAATTAACTTATCTTGAATTCCGTTATTAACTTTCACCCCTCTTTTAAAACTTAGGTATCTTATCACTAACATCTATTAGTAATTTGTTTTGATGATCTTTAACCTCTTAATTTCACCACCCCTCACTATACCTAAAATTGATTAACTAAAATAACCACCTAATTTGTAAAAAGACATTTTGATGTAAGAAACTACATATTAGTGCAGAGCCAGCCATCCGATGATGAGGAACTAATTGGAGAAGAATGCATATCTCTTCACTCAGTCTATTGTTTTTTCTAAAGTATGTTTGTTCAGACTTTAAAGCCATATAGAGTTACTCTTTGTACACGAATGAACCCACGTTTGATCAGAACCTAAAACCTAAAATCCACAGTCTTATTATTTAACAATATAATTATTAAACTGAATATTCGCTACTATACATATGGCTAAGCACCGATAAATCTTGAAATCATAACAATGTTTACCTGACAAATTGTGTTACATAGCTTTTAGAAAGAAGAACATCAGTCGAAAGACAGCAATCTGTATCACTGTAATAGCCCATTCATAAGACAGCATACTGTCAGAACTGAATTTCCAACTGCGAGAAATCCTGAAAACCAGTTATCTGTAGTTGCTATTATTATCATTATCTAATGGCTGTCTCAAATAGACTGGCAGAAAGAGATAAATCATACTTTGTACACAAAAAGACTCCACAGCACTAGAAGACGAAGTCAATGTCTCACATAAAATAAACTGCAGGAATTCGGGGGAAACACTAAAATTGGTCAAAGAGAATATCTTCTTCATCTTCGCATCCATGAATACAAACTAGTAGTCAGAAGACATGACGCATATTCGTCCACATCAATTCACATGGCCAAAGATGGACATTAATTCAAATAGAATAATGTCATAGTATGAGACGAAAGAATCACAAAATAGGCCAGGGAACTCCTACAGACCTGGTACTCAAGTCAATTTAAGATAGATCGATAGATATGTTGACAGAGATTAAATTTATTAATGAAAACAGAACTAGTTACACGACCCAATGGTCAGATATCAGGTCAACCCGAAAATCAGTATCAAACAAGTGAATCGAGCGATAATGAGATCACCCAATCACAGTTAAAGCCTCCAAGGAAGACAAATATCACCCAGAGTTTACTTCACAATGAAGTTAACGCCGAAGATGTTTTCCAAAAGAACAATGAAAGCTGTTGAATTAAACCATTCAGCGCAGAGTGCACAATAATATCAAAAACACCCATTGGGTGCACAAAACTTCTCTATCATTTGATAATCTGTACTATATAGTAGAAAGGGAAATAATTTTTATGGCATCACACATATTTTTTTTCAGAGTTACTAAGTATTTATATGCACATTTTTAATTTCTTTGCAGTGCTGTCTTAACAATGGGAATTAAAAGACAATTCGATGAAAATATGTCGATCGGTAGTTTCGTATAACCAATTTAGGGGGTGTTTCGTCGGGCTAATGATTCACAATGGCGTACAATTACAAATCCCACGTTTAAATCCAAGAAATGTGATCACTAGTCTTGACTTTCAGAATTCTAAAGAAATGATTTGCTGCTAAGCAACTCAGTCACAATAGTCAAATCTCTAGGAAAAGAGAGGAGGAAAATCTTTTGTAAATCAAGTATAACATACTGGGAGGAACTGATATAACCTCTAGTGGTTTCTAAAAATATGAGGCATAGATAGATGGAAGACACAAGGTAGCAAACAACTATAAGGATTGATATAAGAATAGAACTTCGGCAATGTGGTAGAGTATAAATCCATTATGAATAAAATTTATTTTGATAAAGTCTCAAAGTGTTATACAGTAATATTTACTGATGACCAGGTTTCGAGCATAATTTATTACTGCTCATAATCATATCAAGGCACTCACTCACACAACTTTCTGAATTCGTTTATGTACCTGAGTGAAAAATTCCTACAGAAATTGTCCTATATTAGTTAGTTTCTAGGTTTGAATGCCACCCTAATGCCTTATTAAGTTTCCTACGTAGGGTCTCAGATGTCCCCTCCTTATATGGTAAGACTGTGGACGCCTTCTATACCTTGCAATACTTTGTAATGACTGAGAGGTCAATCACATTGGTCAAACTAATAGATTAGGAGGAGTCAGATTGTCGGAATATAAGAATTTAGCTAAGCTAAGAATGATTGACCCTCAGAAGATAAGTAATTTAGAAAAAAGCTCAGCAGTCGAACTGCATGCATTAACACACAACCACACAATAGGGTAGGAGAGGGTTAAAATTCTAAAGCGTTATATAGGTAGGTGGAGAGAGAGAGATTGATTACTGAATCCTGGTTCATCCAGTCTACAACTAACAAATGCAACAGAAATGACTCAATGCAAATACCAGAGGTATGGAAGATATTATTACTAGTCAAATCAGAGGATAATAATTTATGTTAGAATGTATTTCAATTCACATTATAACATTTCAACAAGTTATTTATTTTACCATAAAAACACTTTATTTCCCATCTTATTGACTAAGAACACTCGTCTTACTTCCCATCATACTCTCTATTCTATTGATAACACTAATATTATTTCCGAATGCACTTTATCTTCCATTCTGTTTCACGCAAGTCTTATATTGATTTTATTGAAATGTATAACCAAGTTTTTCTCATGTATATAGACGAAGTCAGAAAACTGTGTGAGTGAGTGCCTTCATATGGTTATGAGCAGTAATAAATTGTGCTCGAAACATGGTCGTACCACTAAATATTACTGTATAACACTGTGAGACTTTATCAGAATAGATTTTATCTACAGTGAACTATGAGGATTATACTGATGTAACAAGTTGCACTTATTGAAACAGTGAACTGTGAAGTAATAAAGCCTATTAGAGAAGGAAGTTGAATACAAGTGTCATAGGAAGATAGAATCATGTTCCAACTTCATGCTTCGTATGAAAACTACATGAACTAAGTTGAAAATTATCATAAAATAAAAATGAGGGATTTAGATGGTAATATTGAAGTTATAGGGTTCTGATGAAAAAAGCATTCCCAACTAGAAATATATGTTTGATTTCCCACAAACTGGAAGACATGCAAGCGAAAAGCAACAAGTTGGCAGAAGAAGCATCAAAGATAGGACTTCAGGTGAACATAGGTAAAACAGAGGTGATGAAGATTCCTGGGAAACACCACCAACAGCAACAACAGACAACAATCAGCATAAATGGGAGGAACCTGAAAGAAACAACCTCTTTTACCTACCTACCTGGGAAGCATCGTTTCAACTACAGGCGAACAGAACTGACGAGGATATCAAAGCAAGAATCGGAAAAGCAAGACAAGCTTTCACTACTCTCAAGTCTGTGTGGAGGTCAACAACACTCAGCATGAAAATGAAAATAAGATCAGGATTTTCAACTCCAATGTGAAGTCAGTGCTACTATACGGATCAGAGACTTGCACTGCGCGTCATAAAGAGCATCTCAAACAAACTACAAACCTTCATTAACAGTTGTCTTCGCTCAATACTACTCAAGATCAGATGGCCAGAAAAGATCACCAATAGAGATCTCTGGGAGTGAACCAACCAGGAACCGATTGTGAAACAAATAGGCAGGAAGAAATGGAGATGGATTGGCCATACTCTGAGGAAACAAACCATCAAGTGACATCACTATACAAGTCATTGCTCGAGTGGAACCCGAAAGGGAAGCGGCGAGTTGGTCGTCAGTGCAAGGGTGACTTGGAGGAGGTCATGTGAAGAGGAGATGAAAACGTGTGGGCAGACATGGAGCCAGGTGAAAACTCTAGCAGAGAACCGAACGCAATGGAGACTCACGGCTGAAGCCCTATGTTCCTCTAGGAATTAAAGGATACAATAATAATAATAACTAAAAATAACTATACAGAGTACAGAATGATCTTAAATTCTACCTACAATATGGCAAAAAGATAGATTACTGTCTAAATGTAGACATTTTATTTATTTATATACTGAGTGGAACACAGGGTTGCATGCTAGAGCTTTGAAGTTTCAGTAGCAGTGGTTCCATTTTTATTTTTCCTGATGGGATTGCTGGCCTCACGCTCAACCTTCCCTCTTTACCAACCTTACTATCACCAGCTAAGCGACGTTTTTGGAGTTAATCGGTCAAGGATCGAATCCTAGAGCCGATGAATCTGTTAGTACCCACTACTTGGTTAACAAAACAGAATGTTAAAACTACTACAAGAAAAATTGGCTAATTTGTTGGCGTTAGTGTATGCAAAGTGCCATGTAAACTGACTCCGAAATTCTATCTTTCAAGAACAAATGAATTTAGAGAACTTTCATATCTGCTGTCTTTTCTCTTGGTAATTATATGCAGCGTATGAGAATAGCTAGAAAACTTCACATTTGATCATTTAGTTCTGAATATTCTAGGGAATCCTAAATTTATTTCTGCAAATGGGTATCGACATAGATTAAGGAATTTGATGATGAGAAGCTTTTTAACACTCATCTATTATTAATTTTTATTATTGTTTCCTTTAATTCCTACAGGAACATAGGGCTTCAGCCGTGAGTCTCCATTGCGTTCGGTTCTCTGCTAGAGTTTTCACCTGGCTCCATGTCTGCCCACACGTTTTCATCTCCTCTTCACATGACCTCCTCCAAGTCACCCTTGCATTGACGACAAACTCGCCGCTTCCCTTTCGGGTTCCACTCGAGCAATGGCTTGTCTAGTGATGTCACTTGATGGTTTCCTCAGAGTATGGCCAATCCATCTCCATTTCTTCCTGCCTATTTCTTTCACAATTGGTTTCTGGTCGGTTCGCTCCAAGAGATCTCTGTTGCTGATCTTTTCTGGCTGGCCATCTTATCTTGAGTATTGAGCGAAGAGAGCTGTTAATGAAGGTCTGTAGTTTGTTTGAGATGCTCTCTATGACGCGCTGGCCAAGTCTCTGATCCGTATAGTAGCACTGACTGACTTGACATTGGAGTTGAAAATCCGGATGTTATTTTTCATGCTGAGGGCTGTTGACCTCCACATTGACTTGAGAGTAGTGAAAGCTTGTCTTGCTTTTCCGATTCTTGCTTTGATATCCTCGTCAGTTCCGCCTATAGTTGATACGATGCTTCCCAGGTAGGTAAAGGAGGTTGTTTCTTCCAGGTTCCTCCCATTTATGCTGATTGTTGTCAGTTGTTGTCGTTGCTGTTGGTGGTGTTGCCCACTCATCTAGTGAGTCGTGAAACCAATCAAATTCCTGCTAACCAACACCTGAATATCAGTGGGATACTCATTATCCACTGGCCCTATTCAGGTAGGTAGTTATCGAGATTCTAAGGGGAAGTCGTGACCAGTGGAGTACAGCAGGTTGGGTGTGAGGACAGATACTCACTAGCGATGACACTGGCTAGTGGTCGCTCCATATCGTGAATTGGCATGAGTTGGAATTCATGCACTGGCCATTGGATGAGGTCTCAGTGGCTTAACGGTCTACGACCTCCCTGGCCTAGTAACCGGAAGGTCCTAGGTTCGAACACCTCATGGGGAATGCGTGCTGATGAAGAGTCCCAAACTAGGACGTAGGAAACATTCATTCATTTTCTAAAACGAATTGACACTACTCTCTCTGAATAAGGTGACTTAATAGTATCAAGTCTAGAATCCTACTCTGGAAACTGAATACATTATATACTGCAACTGCTGAAAATTAGCTACAGTGGCAATGAGTATCAGTCCACTCCTCGACGAATTTGTAGGCAATTTCCTTTGCTGTGTACACCAGTTAATGTCAGCTATCTAAATGAATCCTCGTCCTACAGTGTCTTAGAAGTTTGAACAATACACACACATACACACACAGAGAATCAGGAGACAGATGCTGGCCGTGATTTCTTCACTGAAAGTATGGTCATTACAATGCTTTGTTTGTCGATGCATGACCTACTGCTGATATTTAACCTAGACTAAATTACTTACCAAGTAAAAATCCTGTGAACGAAATTTCGAAGTGATAGATAAAATTAGTGTTTTTATTTTTTTGTTATATACATAGATATCTTTATAACTGCTTAATTCCAGTTCGTGAAATGTATCCAATATAAGTGAACGATTCCTACTCAGAAATTTTAAAAACCGATAAATCATTAAAAAGACAGCATGATAAAAGAAGAACAAGGAGACAGACAGTGGTTTTCGGCGGTTTAATTCCTAAAACTGTTTAGTCACTAGTGTATACAGTTTTCGACGAATGTCTATTATGTATTTGGTAATGACAGTAGTTTGTAAGCATGACAATAAACAAATAAGGATGATTTTATAGAGTAGTGTGTAACATGATGAGTTGTTTAAAGTACCTTCAGATATAAAGAATCGTTAGACGGCAAACATCAGTCGACTGCTGTTTTCTTCTAGTCCTAGAATTTTTAGTTGCGTGTGCTTACAATCCAGTTTACAACTATTGGCAGCTTTGGTGGCAAACATGTTCTCATTCAGCTATAAATGATCAGTTCGCTACTCTAGATAAATTATAGAGACGGACAATGTCCACTTCTATGTGTTCTTCAAATTACGTCCAAAATTAACGACTAATAGTTATTACATCGCTTATCAACCACGCAAGTGATCCGGGTTTGATTCCTAGCAGATGATGCTGTCCTTAACGTCGCTTAGTTTACTAGCCGGCAGCAAATCCGGGAAAGAGAGACGGTAGCGAGTGAGACTGTCAACTCATCCCATACAAGCAACACTGTAGCTAATGAAACTTCAAAGCTTGAAGCCTTATTTTCCCCTCAAAACGTAAGTGGAATGGTAAAACGGTTATCGAAACGAGAAGCAAGAGTGTCTTTATAAACATATTCGAGTGCATGTTGTTATCTCTTTTTTAGTGATAACATTGCGGCAGTGAATGCTTTTTTCCTTCATCAGGTAATGTTATTATTATGATTCAGTTATGCGTAGAATGATTAAAACTAATTTTTACCTCACTTACCACTTTGTTCCTGTTGAAAGAAAAGAAAATAAGAAAAGAGTTTGAAAACAAACCATAAAAATAATTGTGTGGTTGAGAATAAAAAAAGGATCCATAAAACTGTATTGTTCATACTGCCTAGATCCACTCATGACTACATATGGGATAGGGTATATAGACTAAACTTTGATTTGACACTAGTAACTAGTGTTATATGTCTAGTCCTTTCTTCGGTGCAGACTGAATTCTGTCAGCATTAAGTGACGCTGGTTTGAATCTCAGAAGGGACATGAGTTCCTTCAAGGTTGCAGATACGCCTTGATGACTGGTGAGTGCCAACTAGCACGAAACCTAGGTCAAGCAAGGCTTCCTGACAATTGTCTCCAACCACATAATATCACCTATATATATGTATATACAAATGGATATTTGTCGTGCGAAATGTCAAAGGATATCTGATTGCTGCACGATTCACTTGCGAGGTCATTATTAACCAAGAAGCCACCTAGACAAAGTCAAAGATTGTGAGATGTGAGATACTTGGTTGCTATTTGGCGGTTTGGTGTTCACCTGGAAACCCTATGCCTCTGGGTTCACTATCTTGGAAGATTGTCAGTGTGCACTGCTGAAGAGTGCAAAACTGAAGAAAAGCAACTTCATCTTGTGTTTTGCTTTGAAAACCAAATAAGTTTTGATTTTTTGGCACTTTTTTCTCTTATATTTTACAAGAATACTGTCATTTTAAGTCAGAGTATGCGATTTGATTTTAGAGTGCAATAAAGCAATAATTTACACTACTATCTTACTACCATCTTATTACTTCAAAGAAGAATAGAAGGTATTTCCCCTACAACTAGAGCGTAAATTCGAAACATTTTTCCAGTATTTTAGTTATTTTCTTAGGAACCTCATGATCTGACGCAAAGTTTGAGGGTGCATACATACAAATGCTGCCTCAATTGTCTGCATTAGTTCCTTTTTAAGGTAAGCCGAACTTCAAAAACAAGTAGACAGTTTATGATTTGAAAGAGGTTATTTTTTTTATTCTGTTCAGAGGTTGCTTTGAAGATTGGCAGGTTATTTCAAAGATTTTAACTGATTTCCTTACACACTGCTCTCCAACCTCTTTACTTTCAACTTTAAGTAATGTTAGGGATCTCATTAGGCAATTATAAAACCATTTCATTAGACAGGCGCCTTCAGTAATTTCATCCCCAGGTTCTAAAGATATTTTGTCTTCATCTCGTTTGCGTTTCTAGTGAGACATAAGGCTACAAGCTTTTGAGCTTTAGGAGTTTTAGCAGCTCTTGTCTTGTTTTTGTGCGGGACAGGGTTGCTAACCTCGCGTTCAAAATTTGCCCTTTTCCGAACTCACTAATGTTAAGGAGTGAGTCGGTCGGGGATGAAATCATGGACCACATGTGTGGCTGGCAGGCATTCTACCCTAGAACCAGCTGCACACTCAAATAATGTGTGGTTCCTAGTGGGTGTGTGGTGTGCGAAAAGCCAGCAACACCTAGTATTCTCGGGTGGTAACTCATGCAAGTGCTAACCGAGCCCCACATCGCTTAATTTTGGTGATCGGACCGGTTTTTTCAACGTGGTATGGTCGTCGACCTAAAGGTAAAAATCCTTGAATAATAATATGGTGGCAACTAAGGATCTATAACTTTAGGAATAAAAGCAGGTCATCATACGTAGTCCCCTTCCAGTTACTTTAAGTACAGCTGTGATCTAATTATATATGAACAGTTTCATAATCAGATATATTTGTTTCCATAACTCAGTAGTCAGTATATCATAGGAATAGATAGTTTTGCAATTGTGCTTACCAAAAATTCTGAAAAGATACTAGATGGTGAATTTCTGCTGCGTCGACAAAATGATCCTTGATGTAAAGCTGTACACAAATAGTCGTTGGTTTGATTTAACCGCTCCATTGTTGTCCTAAAATAGATGAAAAGAAAATTTCAGATGTAATGATATTAAAAATTTGTTAGGAAGCTCAATATATAAATGTAAGTAGAAAAGTCTGATTCCTGTTTAGATGCCCGTCTCGATGCCCATAAAGTTATTCTTAAGTAACACAGTCTATAAATGAGGTTAACATACTAATGCAACGAGATGGAGAACATCAGTAGAACAGTATTATTTTCATTTGACTTGACAAACTAGCTAAATTATCAAAAAGTATTGGACTCTCTGACTAGGCTTTCTCCCTTTCTGATACTAGGATATGAAAGTAACTTTCTTTGTAAATTGTCCTGTACAGTAATATCATCTGTGATCTATCCATAATTTGATGGTCAAACCAAAACAAAAACAAACAGTCTGCTATCCAGTTTTGCTGACAATCAAGAGATATACTCAACTGCCAAGCCACAGTGTCAAATTCTAACAGATTATATAAAGTCAACCGGTTGATATCGATTACTACTCGAAACGACCTGAGCTAAAGGTCAGTGGATTTAGGTGTTAAATTGTGTATTATTTGCACAGCAGATACTTGAATCTATAAGTCATTGAGAATTGTCAGTGATAACTTTGCGTCGGTGGCATAGCGGTTAGGACGCTCGCCGACCATGCACATGGTCCAGGGTTCGATCTCCGGCCGAAGCAATCCTATATCTCGCTAAGCAAGAACTAAAGCTGGTGAGGAGGAAACTTTGGGCTTGAGGCTAGCAACCCCATCCTGTAAAATAAACTCTGCTACAGAAACTTCAAGCCACTAGCTTGAAGCACTGTGTTCCACTGGGGAACGTGAAGGATAAAAAAATAATAATAACTTTAAGTCTTTTATTTTATTTTATTTCTGTAGCTTGACTCCACACAGTGTTTTTCATGCAAGTATGAAAATTTCAGCTTGTGATATCGGTAGCCGAAATTTAGCAGATTGACCATTAGTATCAGGTGTGCGTCGGCCAGGGACGAACCCCGGACCATGTGCATGGTCGGTGAGCGTCCTAACCGCTATGCCACCGAAGCACATTGTATAAAGATAGTCTGCGTCAGTTTTTTAGACCAAATGCTTTCTCTACTTATCTTTCACTTTGTTTCTACTGAAAGTTAGTTGACTTTACAGTAACCAGGAGCATTGTTATGGATTGTTCCTCTCAAATATTCCAATGATAATTCACTGTTGAATATGTTGAATATATGAGTACGTCACTAGCCAGAGCCTATCCTACAGCTAAGTTGATTCCCGTCTATCGGACAACATGCTCTTGGATGCAGTCAAAAGTCGACAGATGCTCTTCTCATGTTAACTCCAACTGTGTATACAAATTTACGTGTATCTGCGAGAACAGTTACTTTGGGAGATTTGAAAGAAGGGTACACCTCCGGTTTTCTGAACATGTACCGAAAAGCCCGCGTCTCGAGAGTACAAACGCTTATAATAGTGCCACTACCAGGCATCTCCTTGATATGGGCGCCATGATGTGGAAATCGCGAAATCCTTTAAAATTATCAATAGACAAAAAAGCTCAATTCTCCTCAAGTTTGCCCAAGGAATCTATATCAAACGCTTGAAACCCGATTTATATGTTCAGAAAGAAGCAGTGGTCAGTCATTCCTTGCCCACCCTGGTGGTAACTGGATGTCTTCACTGCCTCTCTCTTTCATCTGATTACGTGATCTTCGGCTTTAACGTCACACACATATACACACGCCTTGATATAGTGTAATTTTGCTTGTCTCTTGTTTCTATGATTTGAGTTGAACACAGTACACTGTTACCCAACTTATTAGTCACTCAGCATCTTACGCATCTCTCGTCTTTATTACGTAACTCCTTTACCATACATACATTTATTTTCGTCTAAACTTGAACTGCCTGTGTAAAACTATGCAAGCGTAATTTTCTGAACACTGTTCGTTAACTCCGGAATCTCCTGTCAACTGACATCATGTAAAATTTTCAAGTATGTTAAAACTATTCTGTGCATAAACTTAATAATAATTTGTTTAGGCTGTAGGCAGCAGCTGGTGAGAAGACAACAAAATAAATGATAGTTCCATCTTATTCTTCAAAAAAATATTAACACTGAATAAATTATATTAAGTAACCTGAGTAGCGATCTGTAGGTTTGATTAAGAAGATCAGTTCATATATGCGGTTAGCTGATACTAAGCAGTGATGGCTGGAGGATTTCATCATGAACTGACATCGGTTAGAAAACCACTGGAAAACCTGCATGGAGTACTGGACAACTGTTTCATCCCACTAGTTTCGGCCTCTTCATCAGGACACACACACCCACCCCAGGGTTCGAACCCTGAACCTTCTGGTTACAAGGCGAGCTAGCTCATACACCATTAAGCCACAAGGACCCGATCCAATGCCCAATGACGTCCCCTTTTCTGCCACTTCACGACAGCGATGAACAAAGTGGCTGAGACTAAGCGAATCTAGATTAAATTATGGAGGAAACATCTTGGTTAGAAAGTTTTTACGAGTATTAGATGCACACGAGATTAAACAGAACCACTGAGACAACATCTGATAAGCCATAATAACCATTTTCTATCAATGACACATAAAATTACAAGTGTTGGTTTGTAGGGATTTTATTTGATTGGTTGGAGGATTTCATCAGGAGCTGACATCGGTTAAACAACCACTGGAAAACCTGGAAGTTGGAATTCATGCACTGGCCATTGGATCAAGCCCCAGTGGCTTAATGGTCTACGAGCTAGCTCACCTTGTAACCAGAAGGTTCTGCGTTCAAAACCTGGCCATGGGTGCGTACTGCTGTAGAGTCCCGAAATAGACTGGCGAAACGGCTCTCCAGTACTCTTTAGGGGTTTTCCAATGGTTCTGTAACTGGTGTCAGCTCGCGACGAAATCCTACAACTAATCACATAAGATTACACCCAAACCATCTACAGTATGTTGCTATTTTCTATAACTATATTTATATTATACAACAAAATGAACTATTATAAAAGAAGGTAGAAAAGTTGAATTTTATGGACTATTTATTTTTGAAATTTTTACTGAACAACACCTACCGCATAACATTCAGCTGAGAATAAAGATTCTGTTTCTCTTCCTCATGACTAATTAGTTCACGTTTATCTCTGAAAAAAATCAAATTATTTTTTCAAAACAAACAAACAAACAAAAACAATCTACAGTGTCAATCTAGTTTATGAAATAAGCAAATAAATATAAAAGGGTATATGCGATAAACAGAAAAGTAAGCAACTACTGAAATGAATTCAAGAAAAAACGAACATTTTGAACATGATAAGTTTAATTTTTAATTCAATTATAAATTTCCCGTTGATTGACTGGACTGAAATGTTCGGCCTCTGTTGATATTTCAGCTCCTAGTACGGACGTTAGTACTGCTAGTCCCTATCATCCATCAAATAACTTCAAGTTAATCCTGAGACATCTTCGAAGAGTCTGTACTAGGAACCAGTATGTCAAAAGAGGCCAAACATTTCAGCCCAGTCAATCAGAGCGGATATCAAAACTGAACTAAAAACAAATGAAAGCTGATGCCCGCCGCACAAGGAAGAGGTGGATCTCGTGGATCGAATGGTCTAGTGGGTAGTGCTTTGGTGTTGGAAACGATGAGGACTGGGTTCGAGTCTCACTGGGGTCACCATCATTCACTAGGGAATACAAGTACATCTAGCTGACGAGTCCGAAATACTTACGCGAAATGCGCATCCTGGATTCCACTTCTAGTCTTCATCCATCAAATCACTTCCTGATAAGTTTAAAGTGGCATTTGGTGCTTGCTGTATAAGAGGAGTCTGTCCAAGCTTAATAGAATAAGGTGGCAAATTCTAATTCATTTATAAGTTTCAGATAACGGAATGCTGAAAAATGAGCACGACTGACACTAACGGAGGGTAGTCACATGATATAGTGGTGGTATTCGACTACAGACCCATTAACCAACAGAGATACAGAGGGATATGAAGATGGAACTCACACACTATGAAGATACTAAGGTGACATCACATACCCAGCCCTCAAGGGAAACTTGAATGGGGATTGACAAGTTGAACGTCCTAGGGTGGCATGGAAACATGTGTAGAAGAAATGAAATCAAAACAAGATTTTGAGCGAACAATTGTTTTCGATAACTTCTTCCTCAGGCTCTACAGTTATGAATCCATGAATAATAGAGCCACCTGGAATGGACAATATACCCACTTCCATAGCTTCATACCTATACAATATAAGCGCAACCTAATTCGTTGTCTTAGTCATAGAATTAGGCGCATATGTACCGACGACTGCATTGAAGATGAAATAAAAAATCTCACAAACGCCTTGCTACAGAACGACTATCCTGCCAACTTCGTAAAGAAGTATATCAATGAAACTACACACAAAACTAAGCGAGACACAGTAAGTAAGAAAAAGCTTTACTTAAATTTACAATTCAGAGGCGACATACCCAGCGATATATTAAACCGTAGATTAACGAGAGCAGTTGAAAGAACTTTCAGTGCCGCAAAACTGCATGTCACTTTCTCAACCAAACCGATATTGACACTGTGCATTAAAGATAGATTACCCAAAATGACGACATCAGTGTGTGTATATAAATTCAACTGCTCCTGTGGAGCTAGTTATATAGGTCGTACCCAAAGGAATTTATCTTTACGCACTCGTGAACATATTCCGGTCTGGCTTGGGAAAAGAGCGACCAAATCATTAAATAGTGCAATTCTGGCTCATCTAGTGGATAGCGAACACAGCATCAAAGTAGAAGAGTCATTTACAGTTGTGTATCGAGTACCAAACAATCTCCCCAAAGGCACACGATTACGCCTCCTAGCCATAGCTGAGGCTTTAGAGATTAATAGAGAAAGACCAGACTTATGTGTGCAGAAAAAACTTATTCACTCCCTCTGTCTACCCTGGCCCACTATAAGGTTACCAGGATCATAATTTTCCGTGTTATTATTACCATTATTATCATTCTGTGATATCATGTCTTTATTATCCATTTCTCCACCCAGTTTATTTCACCTCATTGTTACCCTTAATTTTGTCAACCTTTGTGATTTTACACTAAGCCTACCAACTCTGTAACATCTTATTACAATTTACTATTTAGCCTCTTTATTTTATCATTAGACATTATCGGTCAGCTCTCACATTCAGTGTCCCCTTTGTTAATGTGTGTTTGTGTGTATTTTGTGGTTATCGCATTTTTCTCACCCCAATGACACTTGTATTCTGTTGACTATAAAACAGCACTATATCACCCAATTGTTCATTCACACTTCATCACATTTTTCTGACTATACACCCTATACACATTTGATTGATTATGTTAATTAATGGACTATCACCTCAACTTACACATGCACCCCAATACAGTTTCTGATATTATTTTCATTTGCCTTTATTGGCTTTATGTACTCTATAATTCATGGATTTATAACTGTAGAGCCTGAGGAAGAAGTTATTGAAAACAATTGTTCGCTCAAAATCTTGTTTTGATTTCAATATGGGGATATTTCATTTACTGAAGAAATGAAAGCTTTTGGGTAGTTGGGCAGCCGGCTGATAGGGATAACATACAAAGCAGTGTAGTGGATATGTTCCGTTGAAGCCCTATTTTTTCACTAATAACTCAAGGGAAGGTAACTCATCTGAGTGAGTGATTATATCTCTACATCGTAACCGATGCGACAGGATGCTATGATAAGCATTTCTGAAACCATTTGTATTTATTTACAAATCATAAAGACAATGGTTAAAGAGATCATGAAAGACTAATAAATAATGGCGATTTTGAAGGAAATGTCTTAGTTAGTCTTAGGGAATTAACGCTAACAAGCACAAAACCTAGGTCCAAGACTTCCTATCGATCTCCTCCAACTATCTAATGACAACAGTTCTGAGTGCACAGTGATGGCAAGCCATCAAGTGGCATGATGGTCACATTACTTGCAAACTTGACTGATAGAATTCAGTTGGCAGTAAACAAAGGGCTAGACACATGACACTAGTTAGTGTCTAATCAGAGATACAACCTTATTTATCTATCTATCAATCATTTCAAGGCATCTAAAAGTCTGTATTACTTCTGTCTGTCAGACTAAGTAAGTTTAAACACATACTGAGGTTAAGTGGATCTCATTAAAATTTATAGAGTGACCAACCAACAGTATCAGCAGTACTGGCTAATGAATTCCGTTTAAATCCACCGAGAGTGTAAGCTTTTAGTAAAAAAAATTATGTTTGTAAAATCTCAGCGAGATTGAAATGAGTAATTCCAACGTTTCGTTCCGAAATCTGGTCAAATAAAGCAGCTCAATCTTCAGAAACAAGACAAAGCAATAAGTCCGACAGGGTGCTTCTACTAAACTCTAATCCTAAACACCATTATTTTGAAAATACGTCTAATCATAAAATTCTAGATGCTAACAGTTTGAACAGACATGAAGGCGTGATGTTAGCTGATGCATAGGAAATCCTGATTAATAAATAAAAAGTGGATATGTATCACTAATTATTCATACTTGGTCAAAATTCTCGACTGTCCATATCTTTGTATGGAGACGTTAAGAAATGTTTTACAACTGTTTACCCACACACACACACTCTGTTTGAAGTGTTTAACAAAGGTAGACCAATATTTGTAAGTCCGAGGTCAAATTTTGATCACAGCTCATTAAATTTTGTTTATTAAACTTGTTGATACCTTTTGAATGACTCATGATTGGACAAAGTTTTTAAAAACAAGTGATGTTCCTTTTTATGTATAAACCTCTGTTATGTTAATTTCGATTAATTTCCCTGAAGAAGTTCGGACCAGATTGCCGAACGAAACATTGGAATTACCCAATGACTACTTCTCACTCGGCGCCCAATTATATTTTAGAACTACTCTGTCAAATGTTGACGACAGTTCATTTGAATGTAAGCTTTTAGCTTTCAACAGGCTAAAAAAGAATTTTTGCAACACCAGTAGAAACATCTTCCTCAATGGTCATTATTGATAATGATGTTAATGTTAATAAAGGCAATAGTAATAGTAATGAATGAATTACATTGTTAACTGTGCTTCTTGTTTTGCCAATTGATCTTTTAATGCTTTCAGCTCAGCTTCACGTTGAATTAATGTGGTTAAAACATTCTCTAATTCTTTTTTATACGATTTTTGTTCAGCTTCAGCTTCTTCTTCTTTTTCCCAGGAATAATTTGATGTAATTGTAGGCGATTGTGACTCATTGAAGTAACAGTTGGATGTATCAACTACTTCCGTAAACTTTTTCATTGTGATTGGACTATTCATTGAATCACAGCTAGTAGAAGCACGATGACTAATTTTCTAAAAGTAAAAAAAGCATTTTAAAATTTGTACATAATTTCAGAAATAATTCAAACTTGATAGCTAAGATAATAAACATAAAGATTTAGAAAGTGTAAGTCTTTCAGCTTTATTGACTTCACTATAAGTGTTAACTTCTAATAGTTGTAGTCAATCGACCTAGACTTTCTAGGTCATTTACAATAGAAATATAAATGCCCTTATCTCTTCACAAACTCTTTAACGATCATTGTTCCCTGGGGTTCTAGTGAGAAGTCATGACCAGTAGGGTGTAGCAGGTCGGGTGTGAGGTCAAACACTCGCCGAAGACATTGGCTAGGGGTCGCGCTATGTCGTGAATTGGCAGAAGTTAGAATTCATGGGCCATTGGATCGTGTCCCAGTGGCTTAATGGTATACGAGCTCGCCTTGTAACCAGAAGGTCCTGGGTTCGAATCCCGGTGGGTGCGTGCTGCTGAAGAGTCCCAAACTAGGACGAAACAGCTGTCCAATCCTCCCATGTTTTCCAATGGTTCTCTAACTAATGTCAGCTCATGGTGAAAATCCTGTAACCAATCAAATTCCTACAAACCAACACTTGAAGATCATTGCATGAGTTAGTAATTAAGTGACACAGGAAATAGGAGTAAATTTGCGCAAGTTTGCAGTTGATGAATATAAATAAACCCTGACACCCATACCTGTTACAGACTCTTTTATATTAATGATAATAATAACATCTTTATTCTGAACAGCATTTATAAAATGTACAGAATTTTCAGTGGAGTTTATTTCATAATATTGACCCGTTGTACAATATCTTCAAGTAAAATATTAATTGATGGTATATCTTGTGGCAAAGATTAACAATAGCGTCCCAAGGATGCAAACGCACGAGTGACCTTGAGCCGAACAATCATTAAAATGAGGAATTTTTCATAAATATGACGTATATTTATAAGAAAATGCTCGAAAACACATTAAACAGGTGTGCGTCGGTGTCACAGTGGTTAGGACTCTCACCGACCATGCACATGGTCCGGGGTTCGATCCCCTGCCGGCGCACACCCGATATCTATGGTCGGCCTGAATTTGGGCTACCGATATCCATGCTGAAAATTCCATACTTGTCCTGAAAATACGGTGTGGAATCAAGCTGTAAATCAAAAAATCAAAAAAATATCTTTCTCTGAAATGACTTAAAAATACGTCACCGTTATAGTGAGGAGTATCAGTTGCTAAGTTAGACTAGTTTCTCTACATGTATTCACTGAGGTGACTGAGGATGAGCTGTTTTTGTGAATCCTTTATTCTGTTGTGCATTCTTCCCAAAAACCCTCCGTTGAATTTCCATGGTTTCCAGTAAGAGGATCGATGGCTACTTACCAGGAAAATGTGGATAATAAAACAAATTAAAACAAATGACATCAACTCTAAGTCTATCCCTAGTCGCAACACTCACCTTAATCCTGGCCCTGACCCTAACCTTAATGCTAATCCTAATTATGACCCTGATCCTAACACTAACCCTAATACTTACCTTAACCATAATTCTAACCCTAGCAAGCTATTAACAAATTGTCCAAACAGTACTTAAAAACATGATCTGGGTGAAATTTGCTGCTTAGCTGGCGAATAGCATTGATATTTCAGCTATGATAATGATAGGTGCCGTTAGCCAACGACTAGCATGCGTACAAGGTTATCATGGCGTTCGCACTGCAGGGACACTATTATTGAACTTCGTCTATCTTGTGACACAGTGGTTTCTGAGCTGAAGCACAAACCATCCCCTTATGATATTTTTGCTTTGTCTCCTTCGACAGATCCATGATATCTAGTTGAAAAGTAATTGTAAGATGCTTAGAAGTACATTTTGAGACGCAAGGAAATAAATGAAGAACAGTTATCTCATGTATTAGAACACACTGCCACCCACAATCAGGCCTTTCTTCAAGTTTAATAGGAACTTGAGAATTAAAAGCTTGTAAACATTTTAAATACACACAAGAGTAGATAAAACCATGAGAGGTCATATTTTAATCGATTGAAACAAACCGAACGAGAGAAAATATATGCAACAGAGAGAGATGGAAGCTTTTGGTAGCCCAAGTTTTAGGCAGGTCGTCAATACCTTATACTGAATATTGGACAGCGTAAACTAGGATGTCAGATGTCCTAGATTAGTGAATTTTGCGAAAAATGAAGTACTTGATTTGAGTAATATGACGTCTCTTTATCGGGGAAGTCATCTTCAGGAACTATTTATATTGGCTTCACAAAGCGTACACTTCCAAAACTCATCTTTGAACATTGTTCGACATAGTTATCAAAAGGACAATGTAAGACAATTTCTAGCTCCTTTCTCGATCACTTGACGAATTCCCCTAAAATCCATGGTTTGGAGTTATCTATACAATAAGACCGAATGGTAAATGGGGTGTTAGGTTTCGGCACTTGGGTATGGAGGAGAGACACTAGTGATTCCTCAGCACAACCCCGAAATTTGCACGCAGAGAAGGTTTATTTAATCTGTGACTTTAAACTCTTTCTTAATCGTTCGTTTCTGCTCTTGTAATTAATTCAATATTACTACTATTGTGTGTTTCCTTTGTCAAGTGGACACTCAACTACTTTGCTTCTTTCTCATTGAGTAACAATTTTCACTGTGTCAAATTTCAAAATCTTCCTTCAGTTGTGTCGTTGACTGTTATGCAATTTTATATCTTCCCAAACCAATTCTGAGTAGTTGTATCAATTATATCGACCTCCCCCCTCTCCTGTAACTCACTAACAGACTGCTATGCGCCTCCGGTGAACCTAAATACGATTGTTCGGCCTTTCAAAATGACTTCGTCAATAAAGAAATATATTTCGCTGAACTGTTCCATATAATCTTTGTGACTTAGTGAGTATCTCCCATTTTCTGAAAACTTTCATTTTGCTTCAAAAAAGACGAAAAAGATACTTACGCGTCTTAGATTTTCAACTTGTTCTCGAATTTCAGTGATTTCTTGCTCTTTATTGCAGACCAGTGTTCTGTACTCATTTTGTAATTTTTCATGCACCTGAAGAACATGATAACAAAAAAACAAAAAGAGATGAAATCGAGTTTAACTATTCAGATTCACATGCTGCGGTGAGTAAAGTGTTTTTAAAATTACAATAAAAGAAGCAAAGTTTCTGAATTCGTCATGAGAGCTGAAGAATAGTTTTCAACGTTAATTCTGCATACTATATCATAAAGTTAAAAATCGAGGAAACACAAACTCCTTTGGATAGTTTCTTTCATTTTTTAAAAAGTTTTTTAACACATATACACATCTGTGTTTAAATGCAGCTTTCGTATTAATATGATTACTAGACCACAAATTGGTTTTCCTTTCTGCTTAAATTTAAATTAAATCATTTAAGATAGTAAACATTTAGTAAATATGAATACTAAAGTGTTGGTTTGCGGGGATTCAATTGGTTACAGGATCTGATCATGAGCTTACATCGGTTATTCTCTAATGGTTCTCTAACCGATGTCAGTTCATGATGAGATCCTCTACATATGAATACTCGCAATTAAGTGTAGAGATTACTATTGTTTTCCAATATTAGTTTATAAGGATTCGATCAATTTCAAATTTGAACATGGATATACATCAGTAAGTGAATCGCTGAAAATCAGCCAATACCCGGCACATTTTGTATTTCATTTCTTCATGGATAATCCCCATTCAGGCATTATTGAAAACAGAACACATAGTTCAGCGAACAGTCTCTCTTCGGCGAATTCATTCACGCTTAGCTGTACAGTCGCGAATATATTTAAGAGTTATTTTGTATGCATGTGTACATTAAGTTTGTCAAACAAAAATACAATTGGTTATGGTTATTTTAACTAAACAGGTGGAAATTAGAAAGTTTTGGGTGGAGTTACGCAATCCAAAAGCGGTCAAGAAAATAAAGTGTTAATGAGACTAGTGTAGTAACAAAGGTGATAAGTTGTCAAAAACAGTTATTAAAAAGGAGTTACGCAGGAATATGAATAGTTTGATGATTGAGTTGTACTCAGGATACACATAGGAACAAAGTAGAGAACACGAAATTACGCAAAAGTTCTAAGTGAATACAAGAATTATAAACAATTAAAGAAACAGACAAAGAAACAAAATTAAGTCATCTAAAACCAACAAAGTTGTTACCATGATAATAGAATTGGTTGAGTAATTCTCTCTTGTGTGCACAGCTGCAGTTTTTCTATCTGAATGGCCAGAGCTTCAGCGATACAAAGAAGACGAAAGTGTATTGCCTTTGGTAGGTTATTCTTGACTGTGTAGATTACTTTGAAGGAGGAGGCGATGCCTCATTTGACCACTTCTTTGTGCATATATCAGTTCACCTGCTGCTGTGGAGCCAGGTACATTGGTCGGTCGACGCGTACCCTGTTCAACATGATTCAAGAACACTATCCAGCATGGTTGCGAGAAGGCAATAGTGGTGCTATAAGGAGTGAGATAATTGAACACCTGATTAACACTGATCATTCCATCTCAACAAACGCCTCCTGCTTCAAAGTAATCTACACAGTCAAGAATAACCTACCAAAGGAAATACAGTTGCGTCTTCTTTGTAACGCTGAAGCTCTGATCATTCACATAGAAAACCGGAGTTGTGCATACAAAAGAGAATTACTCAACCACTTCTATTATCATGGTAACAACTTTGTTGATTTTTGATGACTTAATTTTGTCTGTTTGCCTGTTTCTTTAAGTGCTTATAATTCTTATATTCGCTAAGATCTCTTACGTAATTTCGTATTCTCTACTTTGTTTCTATGTGTATCCTGAGTAAAACTCAATCTTCAAACTATTCATATTATTACGTAAGTTCTTTTTAATAACTGTTTACGACAACTCATCACCTTTGTTACTACACTAGTTTGATTAAAATCCAATTTTCTTGACCGTTTTCGTATTACGTAACTCCACTCAAAACACACTAATTCTCACCTGTTTAGTTAAAATAACCATAACCAATTGTATTTTTGTTTGACAAACTTAATGTACACATGCATACAAAATAACTCTTAAATATATTCGCGACTGTACAGCTAAGCGTGAGTGAATTCGCCGAAAAGAGACTCTTCGCTGAACTACGTGTTTTATATCGTTTGTTTTAATCAAAATCCTCGTTTTGATGATAACTTCTTCACAGGATTAGAAATATACGCATCTTTGGCCAGACTTCATCTTCTCACCCACTTCAAGTGCTTACTTGCCGTATTAATTTTAGCGTTGTACCCTTTAGAGTTAACAGGAACTGTCATCCTCGTCCAATAAAGTATTCGACAACCCCTGGGAAATATCCGCAAGTGAACACAACGTTGACAAGATATCGACCGTGAACTATGCCTCTGGAATATACTATTCACTTCCTATAAGTACAAGTAACTGCAGTCTTTTATAACCCTTCTACTATTCAATAACTTTGCTTTAATAGTACTGTTACTTCTGAACCAGAGGTTTTATATACAGCTAAGATACACTTTTAAGCATATTATTTAAAAGAAAATTAGGGTAGTATAGTCTGCAAGAATATTTTAAAAAGCGATTATCCGCGGAATGAATAACAAGAGGAATATCGACTGGCACTTTTACTCTACATGGAATCACCGACAAAAATCCATTATGTTTAATAGTTAATTCATACTTTTGATCCTGAGTTATCCCTTTTTTGGAAAAACAACCTTATCACCTTTACTGTTCAAGGCAGTTCGAATTCCATTTTTTTTCGACCATTGGGATACTTTGTTAGAAATGACAATTATTCATTAAAGAGAGTAGTAGCAAAAGTGATGAGTTGTCACATTCATAACTTCCAATATTAGTCAATGCATAATAGCAGTTAATTATATATATTAGAGTCGTGCAATAAAGATGAATAATTTTAACGAGTGGGTTGTAATCACGGTACACATAGAAACTAAGGAATTTATTAAAATATGTAAGCGTTCTAAGGAAATACAAGTTATGATGAGTTGACAAATGAATAGACGAAAATCAAGTTATTAGAAATAGATAAGCTTGTTACCATGATACCATAAGTGGTTGAATAATTTTCCTTCGTATGCGTCATCTTTGAGAAGAACATTCTTCGCAGTAACGGTAAAAGTAATGTTCTCTAGCTGTCTATAGGTATGCAGAAGCCTGATGACTTCTGTGCACACATATCACTTCACCTGTTCCTGAAGAATTAGGTACATTAGTCGTTCGACGCATATCCTATCTAAAAGGGTTCTCGGACACTATCCTCCATAACTGCAGAAAGGCAGTAGTGGCTCCAGAAGGAGTGCCATAATCGAACACCTCGTCAACACTAGTCATTCCATCTTAACAAAAGCCTCCTTCAAAGTAGCCCACAAATTGAAAAACAGCCTGCCAAAAACAATACTTTTTCGCCTCCTTCGCAGTGCTGAAGCTCTAGCCATCCATGTGGAGAAATCGGAGCTCTGCATACAAAAGAAAATCATTCAACCATTTATATTATCATGATAACAAGCTTATCGATTTCTAATAACTTGATTTTCGTCTGTTTATTTCTCAACTCATCAAAACTTATATCTCAATAAAACTTTTGCATATCTTAATAATTTCCTTCGTTTCTATGTGCACCCAGATTACAACTCATTCGTTGAAATTATTCATCTTTCATACATTTATTCCCTTTAATGGATTTGAACAAAGCAAGAACTACAGTTTTAGCAGAATAAAATGGTACCATCTTTTATTTCGTCGCCTTCTCGTCATCTGATTACAGGGTAAAGACATTATTAAGACATTATTATTATTTATGCGTTCAGACAGAAGCGGTTATCAGTCTTTCTTTGCCCTGGTAACTAGATATTTTTCATCCGAATGCGAAAAGCTGAAAAGTTTCCATTGTGTATGATCATTATTGTTCGGAATAGTGTTTAATATTGCATATATATATTTGTATATATTATTAGTGTATGCGTATATTGATCGATTGGTTTTTGTTTAAAATGAACTCTGTGCAGGTATGTTAAAATTGTTTGTGTAGATACATTTAATAATGTCTTTGCCCTGTAAGCAGCTGACGAGAAGGCAACGAAATAAAAGATGGCACCATTTTATTCTGCTGGAACTGTAGTTCTTGCTTTGTTCAAATTTATTCATCTTTATTGCATAGTTCTACTACATGTACTCAACTACTCTTATGCATTCACTATTATTGACTAATTATGATTATGGCAACTCATCACTTTTGTTACCACCCTGTTTCACGAAAAATTGTATATAAATGCATTTGTACAGCTTAGTAAATTAGTTCGGTGGAAAGAGCCTCTTCGTTGAACTACTGGTTTTTGTTTTCAATAATGTCTGAATACAGTTTCTGAACAAATACGAATACTTTGTTCTTTATTGATTTCTCGACATCCTTCCTATAGGTGACTAAATTCATGATAACGCCTAGTTTGTTTGAAACAAATCAGTGCAACTTATGATAATAATTGATTAATAATAGAAGCACCAATAGTCTCATTCTCATCTTTCAGCCTATATTTATTTATTACTCTCCTAATAATTATTATAATACACTGATGTTCAGAAGAGGCTTATACTGTCCAAATAAAGAATAAAAACAAAGAGGAAAATAATGTAACCAAACAATCAGATGACATTATCTAAAACCTACTTCATATTTAGCGCGTTCTTCAATTGATTTAATCTGTGATTCCAGTTCACCTTCCAGTCTGTCCAAATCACTTTTACGTGCAGCTTTTTCTCTGTCAGAAAATTAAAAAATATATATTAGAATAACAAAATAAATACGTAGTTTTCTTAGGAGGAAGTTAATTTACTGTTTGATTTGAACACTAGTTAGCAACTAGTGTGATGTGTCTAGTTTTTTTCTTTGGTGCAGGTTTGCAATGTGGCCATCATTCTAGGTAGGTCACCATTACGGTGCACATTGATTTGATGATATTAGATGTTTGGAGGCCGTGCGTAAACGTGGAATTGTAACTGGACTATTCAGTGAAATTGGAAATGCATTAATTCTAGACAAATGAACCTTCCACTGAAAACTGACTTTATTTCTTTTAGTCATTACGAATAACTGAATACGAATAATTACTGATATTGGAAAGATTGGGTGGAAAAAAGGGTATTCAATTAAAGATTAGTCATACGCCTAGAATGTGAAATTTCCACAAGTTTAAGGTTTCCTACCTGTTGCTATTCATCAGTGAAATTATACCGAATAAATACAGAAGCCTAGTTTATGCAGTGCAACACGCGAAAACTGAAGGACACAATCACACAGGACATTTACACTGCAACTGTCAGAGCAAGTCATTTTTGATATACGGATCAGAAACTTGGCGGGTCACAAAGAATATTTCCAACAGCCTGTTGCAGACCTTTATCAACAGCTGTCTTCGCTGGCTCTATACTCAAAATCAGATGGCCGGAGAGAATCACCAACAAGAAGCTATGGGAACAAACAAAACAAGGACCAATCACTCAACAAATATTCAGGAGAAAGTGGAGATGGATTGGACACTCTCTGAGGAGGCCGTTGGGTGACATCGTGCGTCAGGCCAACGCTCGAGTGTAACCCAAAAGGGAAAGGGTGAGTGGGACGTCCAAGGGTGACTTGGAGAAGATCGTGTGAACAGGAACTGAAACAGTATGGACTAACATGGATGCAGGTGAAAAATACAGCAGAAGACAGAAGCAAGTGGAGGCGTGCAGTTGAAGCCCTATGTTCCACTAGGAACCCAAGGGAACAATAACAATAATAGTTTATGCAGTGCATACTTTTCCTCAGGAATAGAAACAATAAATATGCATAGAATAGTCTATGAGAAGTACTCAGTGTAGATGTAAGTCTCAAGTACTAGTTTAAGCTTTTTCTTCACATGCGCGTGTGTATGTGACAAGACTAAATAAAAAGATATCACATATATAGTTAGAGAATTTTATCGGGAGCTGAAATCAGTTAGAGAACCATTGGAAAACCTGCACTGGAGTACTGGACAGCTGTTTCCTAAGTCCTAGTTTTGAACTCTTCACCAGTACGGAACTGCATACATCCAATAGTTCTCTAAATGATGTCAGCTCACAATGAAACCCTCCAACCAATCGAACAAACAAAATCTCTACAAAAATCTCTACAATACTTGAAAAAAATATCGCATATTTATTGTTCAATGTAAAGTGCTTTCATTGAACTACTATGAAGGTGAATTTATCCTCGATTTTGTGGTAAGGAGTGTTACTCACTAGGCTGTAGTTACAACCAGTAGACAAATCTGGCCAAAAATGTGGTTCTTGGATTCGTTTACCATCTACTAGCCATCATTATATAATTATTTCCTTTGATAAAATTGAACAAAACAAGAAGAACATATCGAGCAGAATAAAGTGATGTCGATATATATAGATTTCACTGGTTCTTGTCACATGCGTATAATCATGAACAATTTAATATAAGTATATAAAATATTAAAATACTGTAGTTACTGATCATAAGGATGACAAAAATATTAATATCACTTGATTAGGTAGCCTAATGAATGAAAAGGAATAAAAGCCTGTCAAATGACATCATGGACAAATGACTATTGAGTTATGTAGTAATGATTTGTTTACGTCAGTACTTTGAAACCCGTATCCAACGAAATAACTCAATTACATGTACATTAGGTGGGCAAAAATGACTGAAACTTTGAAAAACTTAAAAAACTGAAGAAGGAATCATAAAACAAAATTTTTATAGTTAACCGTTTTCTGATCTCTGTCAGTGTAGACAGTATTCAGTATATTCAGCTGTAACATTCTATTTAACAGTGGCATTATTTAATTTATGCATTCAATTTTGACCTTCCCGTTGATTGATTGATTCACTGGACCGAAATGTTGGGCCTCTGTTAAGATGTCGGCTCCTAGTGCGGACGCCTTAAAGATGTCTGAGGATTAACATGAAGTAATTTGGTGGATGGTGACTAGCACCCAGTCAGTCAATGGGAAAATCAGAACTGAATTGAAAAATAATAATTAACACCTGTTGTACAAGAGGTGGCTCTCGTGGCCCAAATGGCCTGGTGGGTGTCGCTTCAGCATTTGAAACCATGAGTACTGGCTCCGAGTGTCACTTGGAACACCAACAATCACTAGGGTATGCAGGTACACCCAATTGACAAATCCGAAATAGAAAGAAATCAGCGTCCTAGATTCCATCGCTAGTCAACATCCCCCACCAACATGCAAAAGTTTTAGAAGAGTTTTACAAACACAGCAGTTTGTTAGCATATTTACCTTGGACAAGAATCTCCCATGAGTTGGGAATATTATTAGCCAGTATTTCAGGAGGTCTGTGTTTATCTCACTGAGTGTCAGTGGAAGTTCCAAACAGAAGGTTGTATTCATCAAATAGACAGTGTTGGTGCCTCGTATTCCGCTAATAATGTCATCGTTATAGATCTCTTCAGACTGAGAATTACAAGTAAACTAAGCGGTGTCTTATTTATACTTCACCATCTCCAAATCGGTTTACACTCGTTTGAGCACAGACCCTTATTGGCTAGAAATAACAATTAATATCACTAATGGTAATCATTAAAAACATTTTCTGGTCAACATCAAAGTATGATGTTTACAACAGTAGGTATACGCGGTACATTCATAAATCATTTCTTCAAATGCATCAAACCTGATACGTCAATTCATTGTGTTTAACTTTAATTAAGAGATTATTAATTCTTGTGTTTAATAGGTCACCGTCGACTTTTCATATTGATTTATAATTTCATCTTATCTCTTCTGTTAGATCAAAGAATCATGAAGTACAAGTGTATTCTGATCTGTAGGCCTCGATGAACAATCAGCACTTTATAGCTGAGTCAGAATGTTGTACCTCATCCTTTCTATGGCAGTATGACTACTCAAACCTAAATTAAAGTAGTATGAAATCATTTTTTCTAAAATGATGATTTAGACAAGATTCCCTAACTAACAGAATGCGTGTTTTGAAACAAGGGAGTATAGTTGAACAATGCCATATCGTTCCTTGTAAGGGCGTCAGTATGATGCTAAGTATAATGCTCACTGGGTTGTTGATGACACAGAATACCTCAGTTCAAAGTACACTTGACTCAACAATTTTGGGAATATGACAGAACAACTGTTATATTTTCTTGGATTATGACTTATTATTTGACTTTTACTGACTAATGACATCAATCATAGATGGAAAGGATGTAAACCATCCTGGTAAAAGCAATTTTTCCCATAAAAGTACTCAGTTAGGTTTGTTTGTTACAAGTGCATTTACATAGAGTATTCTGACTGACTGACTGACTGGCTGGTTTCAACGTAGAACTTTGCACAGATGTGCAGCCATTGAAGCTGCCACACTCCATGTAACACACAAAACAAGAGAAGAGAGTAAAGAGAGACAATGAACAGAAATATGAAGCAACAAGAATAGTCATATGGAAGAACAATGTAATTTTATTCGGTTTTATAAATCACAAAGAGTGAGTGCATCTGTGCTAGCCATTGAGAACAGTTTTGAGCTATATCACCAATTGTCTCCAATAACTGGTTTTTACCATCCCAAGGACCGTAACCAGTCAGGAAGTCTACACCTTCCTACGGGGATTAAGCTAACCTGTGGATTTCATTGACTGATGAAGCCATGTTTTCTTTTGATTACCACTGGATCTCTTCCAACCTGATCCATCCTATGTCAGGTAACAGTTCAATTGTAACGCTTAGAAATTGTAAACTATGCAAAGAGTAAGGTTTGTTCACAGTCTTTCTATGTATTCAATTCAACTTAAAATTGGAAATGAAAGTGGATTCCTAAAGTCCAATACCAAATTTCAATCACATTCATTTTGTGCAAATACCTTGAGGAGTCAAAGCTGCATATGATTCGGTCATAAATTAATTGCTGTATAATGATTCGGTACTTTTAGCAGAGTGAAAACTTGGTACACCACTGATGAACACGGCTTGAAAAGACAGAAACGACCGTCTATCTGACTGGAAAACACTACTGGTTAACGTGAGTGGCTTTCAACTACTCCTATCAGTCAGTCAGTCAGTCCGTCAGTCAGTCAGTCAGTCAGTCAGTCAGTCAGTCAGTCAGTCAGTCAGTCAGTCAGTCAGTCAGTCAGTCAGTCAGTCAGTCAGTCAGTCAGTCAGTCCTTATAAGGTCTCGTGCTATTTCGATTGTTTTTTTCTCTGCATCTTTAGTATGAAGCAGTACGCATATTTTGACCTCAATATTTTGATGATTTCTCCCCCTCGAAGTCTATAATTTACAGATGACAATTTCAATTCTCTTATTCAAGTGTTGGTTTGTAGGGATTTGATTGGTTGGAGGATTTCATCATGAGCTGACATTGGTTAGAGAACCATTGGAAAACATGCAGGGAATACTGCCAGACAGCCGCTTCGTCCTATTTTGGGAATCTTCAGCACTACGCACCCACCCTGCGGGATTCGAACCCAGGACCTTCTGGTTACAAGGCGAGCTCGTATACAATTAAGCCACTGGGACCCGATCCAATGGTCAGTACATGAATTCTATCTTCTGCCGATTCACGACATAGCGCGACCCATAGCCAATATCAGCTCATGATGAAATCCTGTAACCAATCAAATCCCTACAAACCAACACTTGAATATCGATGAGATGCTCACTAGCAACTTGCCTTATTCAGGTATGTAGTTACCTGAGATTCTAGTGGGAAGCCGTGACCAGTAGGGTGCA